ACATTACGTATACGGCGGGTATGAGAGTAAAATCGCCGTAAAGTTGCCAAGCTTGCGAACCAAATTAGAGCAAAGAGTTTTTGTCAGTATTAGAGTGAAAATATGAGTCTGACTGTCTGCTGTAAAAATATCGGTGTCAGTGACAATGACTTGACAATAATCGAGGTAGCATGATGAAAAGCTCTTGATGTGACGTTGTTACGCGCCAACGTCACCGTCATCGTTGGTTGGAAACCTTCTAAGTTACTCTCCGACAACCGAAAAAACTTTTTTGGTTGAAAATTTAAAAACAAACTGCACAGCAACATGTTGTTGCCTTTTTATTCGCTTATGGAACTCAATTACTAGACCTTATGTAACTTCTGTCAGCCATACCATGATTGCAAGAAATTTACACTGACTGCAAATATCGGAAAACGACGTCTGTAACTCTAATGCATCGATTAGCACTACAAAATGGGATCACAAAAATGTCATCATCAACATGCACGTGTATTTGGCTTTTTATAATTATCACTTCCCATACGTGACGCCGTACATTTCATGGTTGAGTAAATTTGACCAGCGATTTTAGTACACAGTAACCAAATTACACATCTGACCAATTTTCATAATTTTCGGCTAAATAGTTAAATATTTTTCGCTATAATGCTATTATGCGTTTCTTTTTCCTTTCAGTATATGTGTAGGCAACCATCTGTACTAAACGCAGAAAATAGTATTGACAGGTTAAAGCATTTATGGGCTGAAAAATGTATGGCAATGGAAAAGAACTTCCAAGGTTTTGGTCAAGGGTACTTCGGGTGTAGCCGAAAACATATCAGAAGGATGGGCCCTCAAAATAGCCAGGACTCAAAAGAGATTCAGTGCCAAAGTCAAAGAATTCCTCTACAGTATATATGTTGACTGTGAAAGAACGGGAAGAAGCCCGAAGTTTGACAAGATCGCTGCAAACCTCAAAGTTCTGAGGAATGATAATGGCTGTAAGCAGTTTAGCAGGAAGAGTGGTTAAGTTCGTCGCAGATCAGGAGCCTCTTCGCGATTTTTGTGTTCGCTTATCACACTTGATCCCAACGTCGTGAAAGATGAGGATTTGGAAAATGCTTTGCAAGACCTGGAAAATGCTGATTTTCATGCAATGTATCAGATTTATTAAAGGAAATCGTGGATCAACTTGAATGAACTTTTAGGTTCATATTGCCTTTTGTGCATTTATTGAATGTATGCAGCAAGCTTGAACGGTCAAAATATACTCTATTCAGAAAAAATCGCATATTGTTTTACTCATCAAAGAAATTTTAAAAAAGTATATGGAATGACTTCCTTTATTCATTGGATACCTGTGAACTATTTAAAGGACAAGGTGGAGTTTTAAAACCCAAGTGTTGATTAATCGTGTTTATGACAATAGTGTTTTTCATGATTTCTTGTAAATTGGAGGTCTATTTTCATTGACATTTTGGATTTAGAGAAAATATAAACACCCCCTATTAAACCCATTTTAAATTTGATAACAATGTCGGTGCTGCAGTGTCACACCTTAACAAAGATAAACACAACATGGGCTAACTATGGTGATAACCGGAGCTACGCAACAGGAAGTTGCAACTGCATTTAGTGTACATCAGTCGGCTTTGGAGCGGTTAAACTATGTCTCCACTAGCTAAGAACACCAATGACAGACCATGAACTGGCCGTCAACGGGTTACCACACCTAGACAGGACCGTCAGACCCCCCCCCCCCCCCCCTGCAGCAATCGATTGAAAACTGCTGCTACAGTTGCTGGTTAAAGAAATCAGTATAAAAGTGCACGAATTGTTCGCAAGAGATTGAGAGGAGCTGTTATTCCATCTAAGGGGTGTTAAGAAAGTTCGTTCCGTGATGTAATATTTTCAAAAATTTCGAAGCTGTGCTTAACTAAAGAGATGAATTTTCAAGTCTGACAAAATCACAAGAGTATGCTTTAGATTTATAGCAAATAATTTCTAGCAGGAAATTATAGGATTTTTCTTCCATATGAAAAAAAAAAAATATAACATCTTTAAAGCACCCGAATGATAGAAATGCTGGTCATTTTGAGTGAAAATAAATGCTAGTTTACTTTTGTTTCTTCATAGCCTATCTTGCTTCAGACAAGCTGATGTCTGATGATGATAGGTATAAGAACAATATATCACTTTTCAAAAGAATAGGTTCTTAATTTTGAAATATTTCACAGATTTGATAATTTTCGCAGAGTATTTGAAAGGATGTTTTGTCCTACGTGCTTAACATATGTCACAAATATGTATCATCCGTAATTTTTTGAACAGACATCATCTGTTTTAATACCTGCCCTCCCCTTATTGATTTAACAAAAGACAGTTAAAACCTGATCAGTAGCAATAATGAAGTCTGTAAACATGAAATATCACAAATTGTAAATATCTTCTCATCGTATTTCTTTTTGAAAATAAAAGAAAAATGTGGAACGAACTTTCTTAACACCCTTTACAACATCCGTATATCGGAAACTTACAAGTGCTGAGATGTCGCAAAGTACATATTGTTATGCCCCTAGAATTCGGGGGCGATGAAAATGACATCAACAAAACTTTTCAATTCACAACATAGGACATGTTTGATTTTTATAGCAACACACTCAAAAATCATTTTAAAAAAAAAAGTTTAAACTGAAAACTTTACATGATTAGCCTGAATAACATTATGCGTTTTTTTTTGTTAAGTATATAAAAACTAATTTATGGGTTTTTTGTATGTATTATCTTTTTATAAATTAATGTACCAAGGCTAAGATCAAGATCCTCTGTAGATTAGAAAAATGCTTACATTCTTGTACAACATTACATGTGAACTGGTGTGTTAGTGTGCGAGGGAGGGTGTGTAGGGGTGTGTGTGTGGAAGGGGGTGAGGGAGGGTGTGTAGGGGTGTGTGTGTGGAAGGGGGTGAGGGAGGGTGTGTAGGGGTGTGTGTGTGGAAGGGGGTGAGGGAGGGTGTGTAGGGGTGTGTGTGTGGAAGGGGGTGAGGGAGGGTGTTTAGGGGTGTGTGTGTGGAAGGGGGTGAGGGAGGGTGTTTAGGGGTGTGTGTGCGGAAGGGGGTGAGGGAGGGTGTGTAGGGGTGTGTGTGTGGAAGGGGGTGAGGGAGGATGTGTAGGGGTGTGTGTGTGGAAGGGGGTGAGGGAGGGAGTAATATGTTTCAGAGTAGTTAGCAAGTATAATGAAATGTTTAATGTAGTTTACACTGAATGAAATTCTATATACATGTACTTGTGAATTTGAAACTAGCTAAAAAATTGAAAAAAATTATTTGTAAATGTTTTCATATAAAATTTTAAAGTGTTGGCACGTTGTTTTAAGACACTTAGAATATATAAAATAAGAGTTGAGATAATTTGTGTATGCATTAACTGATTGATAAGCTAGTATTGGAAAATTTTAAAATTACTATCTGAATTTTTTTTTAAATTATTTGAATAACATTATGTAAATCCCAATATATCAACTGAACACTTTGTATGACTGATATAATATTGCCAATCAAACATCCCTAAGCCTATCTAAATTCTTAAACAGCTTGTCTCTTTAGGTATATGCATGTACAGTGTAATATCATATTAGTTGTCAAAGTGCCAAAAAAGAATTATTAGTTGAAATTAAAAGTGCACAAGATTAAAAAAACTATACTACAGTGTATAAAGTATTTTATTTCAATTTTTAAAGAAGAATTTGAAAATATAAAAATAGGAAATATTGTCATTCAACATGTACATAAAAAAAGTAAGTCAACATTATTAACGAGGATGACATAGTTTTTCTCAAATTGACAATATGCAAAATCACAATATTTAAACAGATTTTTTAAACCAATTTTTAAAAAACTACAAAATATTATATGGGAAAGTGATATGTTTATCAAATGGTATATTTTGATAATTAATAGTTCTATCTTTTGCTGTATAGATTGTATGAAATATATATTTTTTATATATTTTTTTAAAAAATTGGTGATATGTTAATCCCCATATCTTATTTATTTATTATTTCCTAAGCTCAATATTTTGCAAAAATAATGTTTAAAGTTATATTTGTAGAATAAAAAAAAGAAAGATTGGTCTTGGAAGATTTGGGGCATTAAGTTTGTAATACTTTTGGCAATTCTTGAAAATTGGCATTATGCCAGTTTTCAAGTGTTGTCTGCCCTTTGATATATTGAATATTTCTTTATGATAAATGTCATTTTGAAAGAACATAGTCTTACCTTACTTAAAAATACCTTAATGGAAATGCAAGTTCAATTTTGAGTAAAATAAATCAAATTTGAATTTTATCATTTTTTTTTTATTTTTTAAGTGCATTTGCACTTCAGTGTGCATAAAGGAGGTGGCGCTGCCTACGACTGCCATGTTGATTGATGGGTATTTTTTTGGTCATTTTTGAATAACATAATATAAAGTCTAACTACCCACCAAAATTCATAAAGATATGACAACCTTCGATTTGGACAGTTCTGCATGTTTTTTTTCTCGCGGACTGGCTCTTAATATACTATTATATGAATGTTAAAATTTTTTTTTCATTTATTTATTTATTTTTAGATTATTTTAAATTACCTTCGCAGAAACGCACGGCGACTTCAAACTTTCATATCAAGTAACCGACCGCCTAATAAATTACTAATGTGTTCCTTCTTACAAGCTAGACATCTGTTTGTACACCAATTTTGAACTTCTTTAAAATTTGTTTGATGCTGAGCTACAAGTACACATGTAATATTTTTGTTATTGGTTGATTGAGTCCTTCACACATTTAATTTAAAAGGTAAGGTTACAAACTCACATAAAATTATGATATCAGCAAAAAATTAAAATTTTAACGAATGACTGATCCATCACGGTTAATTTGATTACAGATCATCTTTTTCTTAGGCTTCGTTGCTTGTTTTGGGAGGTGCTATATAAAAGAACCGTTGATCGTATCTTGTTCAGAAAACGCAAAGATGCAGTTTGCGTTCGTTCTGGCAACGGTGTCTTGGTTTTTAGGACAAGAAGTCGTTGGAGGTAAGGCTCAGTAGAATTCTATATTTAAATCCTTATTCAGGTGAAGGTAATTGAAACTTTTTGCAAAGGATGATTCGATAGAAATAAAAGTTCCTATAATTCATGTGTTTTATTTTGTTAAACATCCAAGGACGTTAAAGGAACTGCATGGAAATTAAATTTTAAACAGCTTTTTCATCTTTTTAATTACAATTAGGCGTCTAATTAACGGAGACTAAATTTCACTTTTGAATCATTTTCTCCCAAATCGAGTCATTTAAGGTAAGCGAGACTTTAGAACGAGAAGTCAAGAGTTTAATTTAATAAAAAAAAGGGGGTTATAATGTTTAAACGGTGTCTTCAATGAAATGGGTAATTAATTCTTGTTTTCAATTTTTCTAATAATATTGATTGATTTTTTACTTTGAGTGTGAAGTTAATGTCGGCATATGGTAATTAAAATGCAACGTTAATGTTGTGAATAGTTCTGTAAATTTTCCTTTCTATTTTATTCTCTTTTAGCAGTTGATTTGGAGATAACATACCGTCTTCAAGCTGTAATTTCAAATGAAGTCAAATCTTTCATTGTATTCACCTTAAGAAACGTGAATGCCCTCTGTATATTTAATGCTGTTTATTTATTTATTTTTTGGAGGGGGGGGGTGTTAGTGAAATGGTTTACAATTTTTCTTCTTTTGAAAGTCATAATTTGAAGAAATTGTCGAATATAGATGTTTAAAAAATCTTTTCAGGCCTTTCCCGTGATGCCCGTCTTAAGGTTGACGAAGATCTGTTGGGTTTAGACAAACGAATAGATGACTTCAAACCATTAAATTTGTCAATGGGACGGCGCAGTGAAACACCAAAGGTAATTTAGATTCATCATAACCCTAGTCAGCGAGATAACTCTACCTGTTTTCGATCAAAATATTGAAATTGTTAATTTACTAACTAAGGTTTTGACTACGAGTCTCAAACTGATTTTTTTCTTACTTTAACGAAAAATAGATATTTTAAATAAGATCCTTAGTAGATTTCAGAATTAACTACTGTTGACAAAAAAAAAACTAAAATGGAATTCTCTCGAACATTGTGTTCAGTACGCAAGCAAGTTTTTTTTTGTGTTAGCTAGACTGTACATTTAAGCTCTCTTTTTAGGTCACCTGAGTAAACTCATGACCTATTGCTATTCGTTTTCGTCCGTCGTCGTCCGTCATGCGTTAACATTAAACATTTTCAGCTTCTTCCCTGAAACCGCTGAATCTATGTCAACTGGCATATAGCATCAGTGGGTAAATGGGAACAACATTTGTGAATTTCATGGTCCCTGCCTTCCTGGGGCCTTGGGGGCGGGGCCAAAACCACTAGAATTAGTGCAATCTTTGAAAATCTTCTTTACTCCTGGACATCAAGCAGTCAAACTGCTGGTATGATTATATTCAGCATTGAGTCTTCTACCAAAATTGTGAAATTCATGGCCCCAGGGTCAGGGGTTCTGGTGTTAGGGCGGGGCATTATTGATTATGTAATGAAGATGCATTAAATCTTTCAAAATCTTTTTCTCTACTCCTGGGTAATAAGCAGATAAACTACATATATTAAGTTATGATGTGCAAGGGCTCTTCTTCCAGAATTGTCAATATCAAGGCCTCTAGGTCAGGGATACCAAAGAGGCGGGGGGGGGGCACTACTTATATTATATACTGAAAATGAATTGTTTGTAATCTGCTCCTTGGTGTTAATCAAACAGTTTTGATAAGCAGGTGCGCCTTTTAAAAAAAATTGCAGTGTGTAGACCTAGGGTCAGGGGTTCATGTGTGCTAGGGGCACTTCCGATTATTGCTGAATATTACTGATTAGTTGAAATGCATTTTTTGTTCCCCTCGTTGCTTATGGATATTAAGTAAACAAACTAAACAGTTGCTAAGTGTATAGTTCTGATAAGCAATGGTGCTTTTTTTAAAATTGTGAATGCCATAGTATCTAGCTTAAAACACGGACCAAATTCAGTCATATTGAAGTTATTGCATGATGCTTAGGTGACCCACAAGGCCCATGGGCCTTTTGTTAAATGAAATAATAAATGGTAGGCCTATTCAAATCGCAGCCTAATATATTTATGAAAGATGTGTTTGTGAAACACTATGCGCCCGGCGGCAAATAAGTTCTAAACAGCATTTTTTAGCAAATGGGTCTCAGTCAGGGTCACACGATCCTTGTCCTTGGTGTCAGTTGAATGTGCTTAATTAGTGGAGTATGCATATCAAATAAGAAGTCTCTATCTCTCAAGATTCAAAAGATATGGCGAAAGTTCGAAAAAACTATTTTAAGCATGAAGGTCAAGGTCACAAGGTCATTGACCTTGGTGTCAGTTGAAAATGCTTAATTAGTGGAGTATGCATACCAAATATGAAGTCTTTATCTCATGGTTCAAAAGTTATGGCGAAGGTTAAAGTTGACAACCGACAGACAAACAGACAGACAGGACAAAAACAATATACGCCCCGATTAAATTCGGGCGCATAAAAATGTAAGCTTGCATACAGGCCATCAAAAAATATGCATGTATATTTAAGGCAGTGTACATTTAACATGTTTTGTCGTTGATTGATTCACAAAATGTATCATTTATTAGGAAATGCTATATTTTCCATCATTTGTTAACACTCTTGGAAATTTATATATACATTGTATTTTTTTACTAATAAAAGTAACTGAGAGACTGTAAATTACACAGTAGAAAATTTGATTTTTACGCACTTCCCTCATCAATATTAAAAAAAGACTGGGTTCTAAATTGCAGGTCTTGCTTAATTGTTTTGAAATTAATACGACATATTCAGTAAAACTGTGTCAATTGTACTGATTTTTATTATAATTCAAGTTTCTCAAATCAATTTCTTTATATTGCATGTAATTCTTAAATTAAATTTTTTATGTAATTTCAATCGTTGAAATTAGCAGTGTGCAATGCAAGAAATTTCTTTTTTTAATGATCAGTATCATGAAAACAAGATGTATTTTTAAAACATTGAAGCCCCCGTGAGGTAGCTTATGGTGAGGGTTGACTTCTCTCAAATGCAAGTCAAACTCCATAGATCAAGGTTAAAATGTGAAAAGTGTTGGTACACAAAGCTATTATAAATACACCTGTGAGGTATGAAAACCCTAGTTCTAAAGTTATGGTCAAGGTAAATGTTTTTAAAAAGAGGGTCAAACTCTTTGGTGAAGGTCAAAAATATTTATGAAAGATCTTATCACAATACGTATGTGAAGTATGAAACCCCGAGCTCCTACTGCTTAAGTTATTAGCAAGGTTAAAAGTTTGGTATTCTTTTTTTGTAAAATTGTATGAAACTCCAACGTGAGCTCAAGAGGTCAAATTCGGTGGAACCCAGAGAAAGTTCTTGTCAAAAGGATTAGACCTGTGAAATATAAAAGCCATAGCCCAGCCATTAAATAGTTATGGCTTTGTTAAAGATGACAACAGAGAGGAAAAACAGACAGAGAGACAGGACATAAATAATATACAGTGTGGATATTTCGATACGGGGCATAAAAATATTTTTTATATAAAAACATATAGGGTATTTCAGATTTAAATATTAAGTAAGGAACAAAGGACAAAGTTGGAAAAAGCGTATAACGCTACCAAAGGGAGACAACTCTTAGGGATGTGAAATTCGTCTATATTAGTAAACATTGAAATAATAAGTCTTTTCCTGTCGGGAGTTTGAAATCTGTTGTATTACAAATGATACAAATAAAAATACAATATGTTAAATAATTAACTGGCATGTATTTCACGATTTGTTTAATGTTTGTTTTAGGACGAGGATATTTACGGACAGACTGTTGTTATCAATGGTAATGAATACAAGGTGAGTGATATTACTTTAAAAATTAAAATATTTATATATTTATGGATTTTATTTTCTGTCATTTCATAGTGATTTTAATTTGTAAAAAAGGACGATCGACTTTTAATTTTCGTAACGTTTTTGCTGAACGAAACTCATTTAGTGGGGGGGGGGGGGGGCGTTTTTTTAAATTTATCTATGATATTGTATTTTAAGACTTGTTTTATTTTTTTATGTTATATTTGGTGAGATGTAAATTTCGATTTCCTGAAAATTACACGTACTATACATGTTAATATCGACAATCAAATTGCTTTGAAATGATATGCAACCATTTTGACAAAAATTATACACACAATTGATATTTAGGCTATCAATATTTTTGGGGATAAGGAATTTTTATTGAAATTTCAAATTCTTATCTCAGCCCAATATTAATCTTAACCAAAACCCCATGGACCTGGAACAGAGACAAACTAAAGAAAAAGGTGATCTGAAGGTCAGTATTTTATACGTAGTTTATGGTCCATTGATACTCTGATTAGAGAGATAACTCTTAATGACAAAAATATCTACTATTCCTGCAGGTTAGCATTTCATACGTACAGTTAAAAATATTTAACTGCTCTTGATCAAAGTTTGCTTCTTAACAACCTAGTACTATTTTCCATAGTCTTTGATATTTACTACCCATACCTTTAAACTAGCATAATTTTTTTTTAAAATAAATTATCAGTGACTTACAAGACATACACTGAAGACTTGTGACGCTCAATAAACTTTCGAACAATAAAAACAACTGCTTCAAGACTAATTAATGAATTAAAGTACTTTTGCGTTTAAAATTTTGCATTTCTAAACACAGGGGAACATAGGAAAAAGAAACTTTGAAGTTGATTTCGTTAAGAAGTTGTGGCCGAATGGCAAAGTTCCGTATATTATTGAAAAAGCAACTTTTGGTATGTTTTATTTTTATTTGCATGACAATTGTCTCTATTTCATCTTTTTAAATAATATTAAAGTATGAAAGCAGAATTCCAAATTTATTATTGCGTCATAGGTTTCCTTGAAACAGGTCTCTGACCTAGTGTATGGGATCTGTCATAGTCATTTTTTGAGTTAACAAGATATAAGATATTATTGTTTACGCTAGTAAATAGTGCGCAATTATGTTGTTTCATCAAAATGATCTACTACATATACTTCACAATTTTGATTGTGTAACGGTAAAACACAAATAAAAAATATACCAAAATATATATACTTCAAGTATTGTACTATTAATAACTTGTAAGATTGAAATTTATTTTGGTCTAAAACCAACGCGAGAACGTCATCGTCGAATGGAGGCGGCGAATCTCCAGTTTTTGTAATTGCACTTGTTCTGACCTTTTCTTGGTTAAAATATCAACATTTTAAAAAAGAAAACGTAAGATACATGTATCTCGGACTATGGTCCTATTTTGTATTGTTAAGTGCATTTTGAGCTTTAAAAATGATCGTTATCTGCATATATTTCATTCAGGAGACAATTACAACAAAGCCAAGGCGTTAATCGAGGAGGCGGCGAAGCAGTTTAAAGACTATACCTGTGTGAACTGGGTACCTAGAGCATCCGGGGATACTCATTATGTTCAGTTCATTGGAAATGACTACGGGTATAAAATATATCTTTATCAGTATTTAAATAGCACACTGGAAGATGCTTGTCCTGTCTCCAACGAGACTGCATTAGTTTTCCTTTAGTTTTCCTTAGTTCTAATTATAGAATGAATAGATTGAATAGCTTCCAAAGTTTTATCTGTGCAGCCTGGGTTGGGTCAGTTTACGCTATGTATGTAGCAAAACTGTTTATAGCGTACACTCCTCCAACCAAGATTATACCAGACTAATGTAATTCTGGTAAGTACTAAATCCATTATATATGTAATGAGACAATGACGCCCTTTTCTTTCAGATGCTGGACCACGGTTGGTTACCGTCCCTATCCGTACAAAACACAACTCAATCTCGATGCAGGATGTTTAGAGGTGATACTTTTATAGACTTACATTATACTGTTCTCTATACCGCACTTATTAAAATATAGGTTTAAAACACATTAAGCAAGCTCAAATTTACATTTTTTATAAAAGTCTTTCAATAAAAATTTTTCTTAGACATAATTAATGTGCATTCTTCATTGTACATTACACATGATTAAAATAAACACATGCTAACTTCCAAATAAGGTCTTGACAAATGATATGACAGATTGAGTCAGTGCTCCATGAAATGTACCATGTTATTGGCGGGAATCATGAGGTGCAGCGAATGGACCGGTCGGATCACCTGACTGTCCTATGGAAGAAACTGAAAGGTTTTAACATGGATCAATTTTATGCCAACAAAAATACACGAAACCGATTCCCTTACGACTACCATTCCGTCATGCAGTACCGATTGAGTGTAAGAAAATCAAATTATTCTTTTCCTGAAAGTGAATTAAAATTTTAATACATAATTTTACAAATCGCTTTAAATTATCAGAAAATTTTTAAAAAGGATTTTACCATTGTCGGATATGCACGGGTGATGTCAACTTTTGCTTATCACCCGTTGATTGCTTAAATATCACAGTAAAATCTTTATACACAACCAATCAGCAAATTGAAACTACTGAATTTGGAAAATATGAGTACTGGTTTGCTTTTCAAGACGATTGATGTCATGATCACATGGGAGTGCCTTTCTCAAACCAAGAAAGGCACAAGTCAATGGATAAATAAGCAACGGTCTGTTGTCTATGGAGAAGTTTTTGCCACGGCCGTAAATAGACATACACGATGTAACATGAATTTTGTTTCCTTGTTTGCAATCGCCTGCAGTAAATTAAATATACCCGCGCATATTTATTATTTACGATGATTTCTAGGATGGTTAGATGGTCGACGGGTGATAAAGGAGAGATGAGATCACCTGTGGGTATCTAAACATAATTGTTCCTTTTTTCCTGTCAAATTTATTGCACAAAAAACGAAATGACATGTAAGAGTCTATGTGAGAGAATTGTATTTTTTGTATGAAAAAAAAATTAACTGTCATTTTCAAAGTGATGAAATGTATAAAAATAGTTCATGATATACTCATTGGAGGTTAAATTTTATTTTCTTTATACATGTCAAATTCATTGATACATTAAATTGTTCTCTTCTTTTATCAGACATTTCCTACATTTCCGAAGGAAAACACCATTGAACTGCCCGATCCCGATTTAAACTATTTAGTAGAAATACCCAAGAAAGGATTATCTTTTCTGGACATAGCGGAAATAAACGACGGTTATCAATGCACAGGTTAAAATTTTATTACTCAGCAATACCTTTATCAGTATTTTATGCATTGATACAATAATAATCGTCATCCATCCTTTCAATCTTTACATTTTTATGATCTTGCAGAGAGTTGCACGATTAAATGCCATAATGGCGGGTTTCCTATTAAGCCCGTAGGGGCCAGCTGTAAATGTCATTGTCCGTCAGGATTAACAGGCGCAGACTGTACAGGGGTGGAAAACAGCCATAGTAAGTAAAAATTATGCTATTTTATTTCACGAAAGAAAGATAACTCGCGCTCCCATTAGACATTTTTAGGAACGAGTTTACTTAATATTGCTCCGTATACATGTGTATGCTGAAATTGTGGAAAAGAAAATTAACAATTTTATATATATATATATATATATATATATATATATATATATATATATATATATATATATATATATATATATATATATATATATATACAGAAGAATTACAGGAATGTTTTCTATGTACAGGGAGATGCATATAAAATATATACATTGCATCTAGAAATAAATATTGAAAATTATTTCCAATCGTCTACAAAAATAGAAATCCTGTGATATAGAAGTTAAATGTGGTTTAATAAAGCTTGTTTAAATAGATTGCGGTGAGGTTATTCACTTACAACCCGGGAAGGCTCAGGATATACGGATCAGTGAATATCAACAGGGCCGGGAGTGCACCTGGATAATACTGGTGAGAGGGCCTTAAATGATTCTATCAAAGTACTGAATCGAGCAGACAAATGTAGTTCAACTATATAAAAAACATCAATTTTGTTTAGTAGTAGCAATTCTTTATTGTCTGATTAAAAAAAAATAACCTGCGCTTGAAAGCGCTTTCATCGAATTAAAAAATGAAACGCTAGGCACTTTTAGGACACTTACAAGGAACAAGAGCTAGTAAGTCGCATTTAAACAGACAAGCATATATACAGTGGACCTTCAGATATCCGGACCCCAGATATCCGGATGCCTCAGTATCCGGACGTTTTTTTTTTTATCGGAACTGAATTTTTAAACTGATGATTCAGGTATCCGGACGCTTCACATATCCGGACAAATTGACCATGAACCAAAGCGTGCGGAAAATTAGGCTCCACTGTATATGATCAACTTAAGACACATTTTACATAACACACACGCAATAAGCACAACAACATAAGTCATGCATACTTGGATCAATAGATAGGTTCATACTCTACTATTTAAGTGAAAATAAAAACACGGGGTAACCACAAAATTATGTCAATTAAATATTCAGCTGTAAACAAGACACAATCTTCATTTACTAAAGTCGACCACGTGGCGCAGTGGTAAGAGCGTCTGCTCTAGAGTCGCAAAGTAAGAATATGATCCTTACCTAGCAGGTACGAATCCCCCTGTGGGACGTGTAGACAGGTCCTTCGAATAATTCGAGGTCCCGTTTTGCAGTAGGTGCTGACACGAAAAAGAGCCTTCACTGCTCAATGACCCTGAGTACCGAGTATTGGACAGCTCTCCGCCGGCAAATGGTGGCTTCTACATGAGTGAAAATATGACGTTAAACAACGTACAATCAATGAATCATTTTCAAAAAATTAAGAAAGTGGTAAAAAAAGAATTAACTTAATATATATTGAATATTGTTTAACGTCCCTCTCGAATTTTAAAACTATATTTGAGATGGATTTTTATAAGATATATTATATGAATCCATAAACGGTTCAAAAGGTACCTTATTACACGGACTTCTGAATATTCCGATTCTTTGATTAGGTCATTTAGGTCCGAAGATGGAGTACGTACCCCCGGTTAATCGGTCAAACTCGCCATAAGCAACATGTATTGGTTAGGTAGAGGAACGTTTCAGTAGTCAATTCAGTATACCAGAAGTATCTGTCGAGACTGTAGCTCTACTGGTTTGCACTTAAAATAAAGGAAGAGAACTTTGAACGTTAAACTTTACAAAAACAATAAATAGAATAATGATCCTTGATAAAGTCTCTTTTCGTGGCAAGACTTAAATAAGACTACAACTGTAGGAGTAACTTTTAATGAAATTTTACTGAGTTTTCAATTTACATTACTATGGTAACATCAATCCTCAAAATCAAAAACAAATTTAAACTGAGAATTATGTATCTTCGTTTAGTCTACTTGCATGTCAAATTATGTATAATCAAAACAAGTTGCTGTCCTTTAAAAAGGACTGCAATACGTGGACCATATGCATGTGTTTCTAACCGAAATTCAATATATAAAAATACAATGATCTGCCAACTTGTGACTGATTGCATAGGCGTCCGAACCGGGGTAAGGGGGGAGGGGCTTAGCCCCCCCTTTTTTCCCAAATATATACTTAGTATACACATTGAACATTGCTGCGTAGGTTTAACCCCCCCCCCGACAAGTCGCAGTTTAGGTTAAAAAAGAGGAAAGTGGTGGTACTGAAGTCTGAACCTCCCCCCCCCCTCGAAATAGGATTTTCGTGTTTGGGAAAATGACATTTCCCTTTTTTTCTTTTGCTTGTCAGGTTTTTTGAAGGTATATTTTTTTTTACACTTAGCTCCCCCCCCCCCACCTTCAATTTGCTTCCGACGCCAATGGATAGTAGTTTCAAAGCAAAATTGTTTAATTTTATCTCCGATTTATACGGAAGAAATCTATCATGGTAAAAATAGATCTGATGGCTCACGTGTGGCACAGCTCTGTTGTACTCAGATTATTTGTAAAAGCCCCCCCCCCTTAAAAACCGTTGCTACCGACCTCTATTAGACGGTAATTGGATGACTGAAATATCAAATAATTTTGCGAGCCTTGATGCACAAAATTAATGCCGGTGAAAACTTGTTTTATCTTTTAAACGCTTACACTAGTCGTTGAATGACGTTTTTCATTCAAGTTGTTAGTTACATGTATTCATATACTGCAAGTTACTCCTACTTATTGAAATGCTTGTGCCATAAAACATGTCTAATCAATAAAAGTGTACGTATAAGCAAAAAATTCGGATCTGTCCCTAAATATATAGATGCTATATGCGCGATTTGCCAATAAATGGCTTTGATTCTAAGTTGCCTGAGGTGCGAACTCTCTAGCATATTCGCGCATGCGTAGCCTGTCGTTTTCCCATGGCATCCTGTTTAGCCTCGTTTATATATTTACTGCGTGGACCGCAGGGTCCACGCAATATATCTGTACTTTTGGATTATGAATGTTTTTCACAGAAATTTCTATTTTTATTAACCACAGCAACACCGTTCATCGAAATCAAAAACCGATATACAGAATTATGTATCTTAGTGCAGTCTACTTGTGTGTCAGGTTATATTGAAATCAGACCAAAAATGGAGGAGTGGCATTTTGAATGTTTTTTCACAGATATTTCTATTTTTAGTAACCTCGACAACACCGTTCATCCAAATCAAAAACCGATACACAGAATTATATTATGTATCTTAGTGTAGTCTACTTGTGTGTCAAGTTATATTGAAATCAGACTTAAACTGTAGGAAGAGTAGCATTTTGAATGTTTTTCAGAGAAATTTCTAAATTTTATTCACCACGGCAACACCGTTTATCGAAATCAAAAACCGATATACAGAATCATATATCTTAGTGTAGTCTACTTTTGTGTCAAGTTATATTGAAAATCAGACCAAAACTGTAGTAGAAGTAGCATTTTGAATGTTTTTCACAGAAATTTCGGAGCTTGGGGTTCACTGTTTTACCCTTGTGTGTCTGTCTGTGTGTCCCTGTGTTTTAGTAACCACGGCAACATCGTTTAATCGAAATCAAAAACCGATATACTGAATTCTGTATCTTAATGTAGTCTACTTGTGTGCCAAGTTATATTTAAATCAGACGGACGGCTGACGGACACATTACTATCGCATAAGCTCTTCTGGTCTCTAACCAGTAGAGCTAATAAGAACAAAAGCCTAACGACTGAATAACTAAAACAAGTCTGCCAAGAAAAACCCGAGATACGAGGGCCGTTCAAAAATTACGCGGACTCTGCTTTTCTTTACTCTTACAGACGTCATATAGTTATGAAATTTAACAGAAATATATATCTTGAAGATTCCGATAAATTTTGGGCAAAATATGTGTATTTTAAAAAAATTCTGCTAAAATTATTGGTATGGTGATATCGCTGATGAAGAGGTAACGAGCACGACAAAAAATTTGAAGCAAAAGCATGTGGAATCCAAAATAACTCATCTTTTTCTATAATGCGCGCTATTTTACGACAATTGTCTTAAATGTATCTTTAAATTGTTCTATTATCATGTATTTAGATTTCTAGCGTGGTATTTGAAGTACTAACAGAAATATAGTGATTTTTCTCTGTTGCGATTACCGTGAAAATGACGTCTCCTGAATTGACGGCGCACCACATTTTGTTAAATTATGTGTAATGCACGAGATATCGCCAACATAGAAAAAAATATGCATAATAAAATATGTAGTATACTAAGGTATTCGTAACATTCGTCCACATATAGCAAATTGAAATTTTAGACCGTTAGACCTCTGTAAAAAGGCTATACTGGAGGACTGGAAGAGGATTATCGACAAAAACTTTATCCGGACTGTAAAGAACGTGATTGAGAGTCACTAATATCACACCATATCTGATATGTACCTGCAGTTTTTGGTTTGAAAACAAAATAAGAATATTCTTTACTTGTTTAATAGATTTTAAGCTTGAAAAGAAATGTTGTTTGGATGTTGAGTAGATAAGGTAACTCAAACTGTACAGGTACTCCTGGGAAAATGTTGAGAAAATGAAAACTCAATCACATATATTTTTTTATCATGCCTGTGATGTCGAAGATTTTGCTGCTCCGTGACTTAATGATATGTCCTGAAAAATCACTCAAAATTGATAACAATTTACAACATTTTGGTATGAAATTTTGAAGACCATATAAGTAAAGATTCTTTTATATTATGTGTGACATTTTGCCCGATTATGTCGTCAAATATTTTTTCTGTGCGACAAGTACGCGTAGATTTTGAACAGCCCTCGTAACTGAGAAGAAAATAATAATAAATCCAATTTAATACTCGTTCATTTAACAGGGAAACCCTGGTTCCAGAATACGTGCTATTGTGATGTCAATGTCGCTACCTTACAAAAAAGATGAAAACACTTGTGAGCACTGGCTAGAGTTCCGTGACTACCATATTGGAACCCCGGGGAAGAAGTAAGAATGTTAGCAAGTGGTTTCTTTCTTTTATTGAGGGGGGATGAACCTGGTTAAGAAATTCCGTATATTCTCTTTTTTCTCAATTTTTCTCTTTTATGCACTATACCCTTATTTCTGGATATTTTTGTGTAATTAGAGTGAACTGCCCTTTGAGCAATAAACAGTTGTTATTTTCGAGGTATGACAGAATTTACAGCAAAGAGGGTCCTTAATTACAATTTCAAGAATTAATTGTACAGAAAATTATGAAATATTTATCAATAAAAGCACACTGAGCCAACCTGAGCGATAAAAAGCATATAAATCCACAGTGTGTGCGATGTTTATTTAAAGAATGAATTTAAGGGGTACTTGGACACAGATTTGAAGTTAATTTTTTCTCTATAATATTACGACTTATATATTTTAATACCATTTCACACAAAAATTAATTTAAAATCCCAATTCATTTATAAGTTATTATTTTTTTTTATTTTTTTGGCGGGTTTGATTGACACGTCCTTGCACTTTCACAAATTTTAACTTTATTCTTAATTCTTTGGAAAAATAACATTCTTGTTGTGTATTAATGAAAAATATTAATACCATAATCCAGAAAAAACAGAGTAGACATGTTCGGAAGCAAAACAAACACACAATATATTGTCAGTCTGTGCAGTTGTGGTGAGCAGACTTTGGCGTTTAAACGCACCTGGTGAATCGTTAACATTAAACAATAACAGGATCTTGCCTTGTTTACGAAAACTGTGAACATAACACGAGTGTGCTCGATTTGCTAAACTCTGTACACAACGGAATGATGATACTTGTTAAAGAGTTTTGCTATCTAACATTTCTACTCCGAATAAAATTATTTTTCTGGATTTAAGTTTTAATATTCTCAATAATACACAACAAGATTGCAACTTTTCCTAAGGAATAAAGTTAAAATTTATGAAAGTGCAAGGATGTGTAAATCAAACCCGCCAAAAAATTAAAAGTTTTAATATCAATATAATACAGATTTTTCATTTATTTTTGTGTGAAATGCTATTACAATATATGATTCGTGATATTATACAGAAAAAATTAACTTCAAATCTGTGTCCAAGCACCTTTAACAGCTACCCATTTTATACGGTATAAACTGGGTTGGGGCAGTTTACGCTTTATAAACCGTGAAGCGTAAACTGCTCCAACCCAGTTTACACGGTATAAAATAGGTAGCTATTAAATCCATTGCTTATGATTTAATATTCATTCATTTAATGTAAGAAAAAAAGATGATTGATCTAACAAAATGACTTAAACTTGTACAAAATTTGAATGTAACGTCAGGCGGATTGATACGTTTTTGACGCAAGTCATTGTGACGATAGCAACCCATTTTATACGATGTATTAAAAGTAATTTTTTTACCCAATCAAATACAGCGTTACAACCAGAATTAAATTATAAAGAAAGCAATGGAAGATGATATTTTTATCTATTTTAAGGTTATGTGGCAGCATACAGGGAGATGGTGACTTTAAGTCATACAAGAAATATTTGGTTGGCAATCCAGCGATGATGATGATGAGGTTCAATACAAAGAATCAGATTCCTTCTACCGCAGACAGATACGTCACAGTTAACGTCAAGGCTTTGGCGTCACGTAGGTTTTACCTTTATAGTCAGTCGTGATTAAGACTTGGTGTCACGTAGGTATTACATTTAGCGTCGGGTAGATTTTACATTTGGCGTCGGGTAGATTTTACATTTGGCGTCGGGTAGGTTTTACATTTGTCGTCGGGTAGGTTTTACATTTAGCGTCAGGTAGGTTTTACATTTGACGTCGGGAAGGTTTAATATTTGGCGCCGAATAGGTTTCACATACAAGTAGGTTGTACAAAAAGATAAGTTTCATTGAACGGAAGCAATTTTTATATACAGTGCTCTGACCTATTTATTGGCCTCGCCATAATTTGACGCCATGAAGGTGCTGACGAAATTAATTGGTCGGATATCACTGTCTTAATTAATATAATTCATTCAATATTGGCATTTTGATACAAATACTTGAAACTATAAAGTTAACAGTAATAGGATCAAATTTTGGAGGGGTGTATTTAATTATAATTTATTTGTGTTTGTTTAATGTTTGAAATTAATCGTTGGGTTCAAAACAGCAGAAGTAATGTATATTTATGATAAATATTACCCACAGTTATTCTCAGAAATAATTTAGTAGCAAAAGCTCAAATCCACGATTGTAATTAATGTCCGTCACAAGGGAGGGTTATCTTTCTTTAAGACCTGCAATTAAAGGCATTGGTTTGTAAAGCAGTATTTTTGTTATTAAATAAACGTACATTAAAGCAAGTCCTGAAAAATAAAATTGACACAGGCTTATCGTTTTAAACATGAAAAAAAATGTACAGTGTATATATTTCTTTTCCCCTGATCAGAGTGTGTTTCTTCCCCGTGTAAAAATGGCGCCGATTGCCAGGAAAATCCTGTTGACTGGTCTTACGTTTGCTACTGTGAAAATGGATTTTCAGGAAAAAATTGCGACGAGTTTGCAGGTAACATTTTTGAGTTTATTCTACCCATTATATTTCTTGTTCACCATAGTCATTCATTTTAACTTTTGCTATCTGTTTATGACTTAGGCATCGCCAGTCATGCTTTTTCATTGTCTAAGATTCTATTTCTAAAATTTTATCGAAAAATATTCTTCTTTTGAAGATAAAACGTTAAATCCCTGTCTTTATTTATTCATATCAATATTAGAACATTGGCATTTTCAAACACACCAACTAAATTTTTGGTCACCTTAGGCGAAAATCAGTTAAGCTTTTTTCAATTATAATATTTTGTTAACTTATAATGGTTGATAACAATGCTTTCTCTGATATGGCATTTCTCAATGAAGTCATTTTATTTATTATGTTGAATTTTTACATTATGTAATCTATAAAACCTGTCATACAATGCCATATGGTGAAAATATTTTGTATCATATGTCATTGAAATGCCTTAAGCAACAAATCAGTCCTAATAATATAATATATTCATAATTTCTCACGTAATTTTTCACCATTATTTTTAAGTAATGGCTTTTTCAATATTTTAAGACTTAATTCAAGAAGTATTTATTTTATTATAATACGCTGTTCTAATATATAACAGACAATGGCCATAACTTCTGCGACTTTTCCAAGGAGCTGAAATCTTGCATTCTAAGTCAGGATGTAGAGGAATCAGAGTATTTATGGAAATATGCTGTGGTAATATTCTGAAACATCTTGTGAATAATTCAACTCTTTTCTATTCATCAGATGCAATTCAAATATTTACATGTACTTGAATCTTCAATAATAGTCGTTTAGATAAGGCCAATTAAAAAAAGTGCCCTCTTCCAACTCAAGATAAATGAGTAGGTGGAACATTATTTAAAAAACTAATCCCCTCGAATTCATCAATACTGAGTTTTACAAATCTAGTATAACTAGTGTTTAAAGAACTGTTGACGAAATGAGAAATTTAGAACTGAAATAAAAGTAGATTTTACCTGGAAGGTAATTAGGCAATCGGTCAGAGAGGGCAAACTAATATTTTTATAACTTACAGCTTTCTGTTTGTTGGGGTTTCAGTAGCTTAAAATGCTTACTTTTTATAGCTTCAGTGGCTTTCATATATAAGTAACGTATTACCTCACCTGAGCCGAAAGCTCAAGTGAACGTTTATGAGTTGCGTCGATCGGCCGTCTGCCCATGCGTTTGTAAACTTTTCACATTTTCAACTTCTCAAGAACCACTTGGCCAATTGACTAAACTTGGTACAAAGCATTTAGTAGGATGGGGAGTTTAAATTGTTAAAATTAAATAGATTTCTGTGGTTACATTTAGATGAGTAGATTTCGGTTGTTATGTTTTGTTTCAATAGATTTCAGTGGTTACTTTCTTTGTTTCAGTTTATCTGCTACGACCGTGGTTGTAATAGAGGCGTATACACATATCAAGGGAGAGAAAACCAGTTTTTGAAAACAAACCCAGGCTACGGAAACAGTGCACTAACCAGGAAATCGTCAGTTCTCATAACGACCGCCAAGTTTACAGGTTTATGTTTCACAATTCATATCAACTTACACACGTAGGTAAAAGTACAGTGAAACTACATTATAACGAAGTCCCTGGGACGTGTGAAATTACTTTGCTATATCCGTAATTCATTATATACGTATAAGGATTCATGAAATTTGTATAACTGGGGGACCAAGATAACTTCGCTATATCCGTGAATTCACATTATCTGTTTTTGGAAATAAACGAGTTTCACTATATTAGGGCATTTTATTGTATAGTTTTTACAAATTGTTTCTGACAAATCTGTAAAACAGATCCTAGCTTTTTGAGATAAAAGTTTTGGTTTTCGGGGTCTTAAAAAACACAAAACAATCATCATGAAAGCTAAAAATTCAAATAAATTATATATGGACGCCCTTAAATCACGACATCCCATCTCACGAACCCATATTTGTTCGTCCAACAACGAAAAGTTGGTCAGAAAAAAAGGTGACATTACAGTAATATTTTGTTTAAAATCTCTTTTTCGTTACTTAAAAAAGTTTATATGCAATATTATGATTCCTCTTTAGTCCTTCAAAATCTCGAACTACAATAACAAAAAGACTCAGACTCCTTTACAGCCCAAAGTATGGAATCGAAACAAGACAGTTGAAGAATCCATTCTACCAGAATTTCATTGAATGATGAATTTCGTCTATTCTTTCACGATAATATTTTTAATTTTCCCCCTAAAAAAATATTGTCTTTCAGAAAAAGACCGTTGTTTGACATTCGATTACAACATGGGGAACTACTCAAGGGGAGATGGAAGCCAGACCATGGCCCAAATTTACAGACAGGGGGAAACTAGTGAGGGCTTTACAGAGCAACAACTCTGGGACCTGTCTTCCACAACCAACTACAAATGGATGAAAGCCGCCATTAACATCCGTAAAATTAAGAACCTGAAGGTACGCTTAAGAAGGCAGTATGCTATAACTACTGAAATAAAACAAGCCGGTATAACAACTGTAAAACATTGTTGTGTCCATTTCATTAAAAAAGAACAATTTAATTACGTGTATGAAGGTAGTAAGGCATTAATGTATATTCGAACAGGTACAATTTGATGTTTGTGTCATAATTCATGTTGTCTAACGGTAATCAGTGACTGTCTTCGTTGTAGATTAAGATTAAGGGTATATTTGGTTCCCAGGAGCTTGGAATTGATAATATGCTACTTCGTCCAAGCTTGTGTAAGTTTTTTAACATTTGAAAATGGGATAACGCTTTAAAATAAACTTGATTTTCAACGAGGTGTCAGCTTTCTATCACTTTCAGTCGTATTTTGCCCTGAGAGAAGTCATTTGTTTAGGAAAAGCAGCTTTTCAACCTTTCCGACAACTAAGCGAAAAAAGAAAGCCTAAATTGAATCAATAAAATCCCCTTTCCATACACACTGGAACATTAATGAAAAAAAAAATATGAACAGTCTCACTAAAAGTCATAATTTCATAATTTCTATGGTCTATACTCTGACCACATCAGCAAACAACGAAGAAGACCGGGAAATAAAGTTAAAGAAAACATTGACAATTCAGTGTATCCTTGTCAATAATGGTATAGCAATACATGTTGTATGAAAAAAAAAGCGGTTCAGGATTTGTTTGATGATGTTATATCGCCTGTTGAACTTACGAAATAATGACTGGAAACGAGACTGTTGATAATCTTGTTACATCAGCTTGTTTGTCAATTAATTACCTCGTTTTGGGAATTGTTAATATGTAATACATGCTCTTGCATATCGAATCTAATGGGATATATAAAACCGCATTTGCGTGTAATAAAGTTACTTTGCTACCCTAACTATACTGAAATTCATTTAGAAGTGAATCCAGTTTGTAATAAAAGAATAGTAAAAACACTCAAAGTATTTTCCGAGCTTGTTATTTCTTTTTATTTTCTGTACAGGTACCGAAACTGTCTGTAACCCAAATCCTTGTATCAATGGCGGGTCCTGTCAGTCAAAAGGAAGTCCAGCAACGCATTACTCCTGTGCATGCCTAGCTGGATACACAGGAATTAATTGTGAAAGTAAGGAATTTGTTTACTTTTCCTATCAATGAAGTTTATAGATATGTTATTATCGGCCGCAGCAGCGGCCGATCTATTTGTGGTTGTGTTAGAAAGTGCACATGGGGAAATGAGATGTTATTATTTTATTAGTTCAGTAAATTACTGATAATTTCAAATAACATGTATAAAATCATGAGTGAAATATTTTTCAAAAATTGCTTTAAATTAAGTTTTAATCGTTGTTATTTTGTTTTAATTTCATTATCATTTGGCATCAGATAATTGAAAATTTACGATTAAATAAAAAGAGTTTACAATAGGTGCTCCTCATCCAGGGAGTGTGTAAGATATGAAAGGAAATCGTTATGATTTTCCGGATAATAATGACGTGCGCGTGGTAAAAGTGCATGATGAATGAAAAATTGAAAAGTTGCTCTACAAGTAAAAACTTGTTTGAAAATGCTACAGCTGCAAATGACGCAAAGATCATTTTTATACATTTTGCACCGCACCATGCAGCATAGCCTGCTCTGCAGAAACCATATAGGCATTATCACGTGACAAATAACCAGGGTATCAGCACGTGGTATATCTTGCATACGTATTCATTTTGATGACAATAATTCCTCATATCATAGGCGTCGGAACCGGGGGGGGGTTAGCTCCCCCCACTTTTTTGCAAAGATATACATTATATAGACATTGAAAATGGGCTTTACCATTTTTTGTCGGTTTAGCCCACCCCCCACTTTTACTTCGATAAATCCATTGGATGAGCAAATGCACTAAAATTTCTAGTTTGAAATATATTTTATTCATTGAATTGGATTGAACAGCAGGCATGATACTAAAATTTCTATCAATTTTTAAAAAAATATTTATCTATTTATTTTGCTTTGAAGACGGCCTTAAATGAAAATGATCATTATTTCAGCTTTGAATATCCAGTTCTTTTCTTGCATGAATGCTTTGAATTGTGAAAGTACTTCTTTTTTTACATGTTGACATGTTAAATATGTTAGCGGCCGATTTGATGCTTTGCATCAATTGACTTGTACTAAATGAATTCCCTTTGTCTGAAATGGCAACAGTATTTGCCCTAAAAATGAAATAAAAAACGTATACTTTTATATTTTGTACAATAACATGTAAATGTGAAAATTCATTTCGTAATTTTTGTCTGTCTTCGTGGTTTTTAACAGTTTGATAACCAATCAAATCTAATGATACAAGCAATATAGGAAATACTGTGAAGAGTTTTTGTCAGCATTGAAAGACAAAGTATGTGTTTGCTGTTCATATTAACATTTTGATTTGCGGAAAAAGAAATTGACCCATGATATGAGAATTCCTTGTTTTATCTTAGAACCTGCGGCCTGTCATCCAAACCCCTGTCAGTATGGCGGGACGTGTACAGCGAGTGGTTCCGGTTTCCTTTGTCACTGTCCTCTCGGTTTCTATGGCGATAGATGTGAAAGTAAGTAACCGGAACTGAAAATAAACAATCAAAAGTGAAAGTAAAGTAGACAATTCAAGTGACTGGAAAAAAATTACAAAAAATGATGTATAAATGATGACAATACATTTACTGTTAAAATAGTTTTACTTGATTCAAAACAATGTCCATGTATTATATCCTGTAGTTATGAGGTTTGATTTTTATAAAGAAAACAACTTAGATCCGTGTTTGTCCCACCCATGTCAAAATAATGGCGTGTGTAAAGCTGCCAAGGCCTCTGATGGCGTGGCGTTTACATGTACCTGTCGGGAGGGGTACACTGGGGTCACGTGTGAAGGTGAGTACAAATAAAAATTATTATAACACAATGACATAGTTTATAGATATATAAATGTAGGACATCAGGTTTATTTGATCGAATTGCGTGTGGCATATAAATGAAAATATATTAAACAAAATTGAAACAAAAATCCAGATCCGGGGACGAAAAAATTGTATTTTTAGTCACTGCGGCAAAACTTCATTACATGTAATTTATACAACATTTGTATAAAATTCCTGTCTTAAAATAATTCTGCATAACTTCCAAAGATAAGCTAGATAGAAGTAAATTGACCATATGATATATGAAGAAGATCAGAAGATTAAACTTGCAAACTGCAAACAGTCACATTTTCATGTATGTATCAGTTGTTTGAATTTAAATTTCTATAAAATGCGTGACCTTATAATTGAGGTTGGGTATCAGTCAAATTCTAGAAGAAGAAGCAGAGAACCCTGCAATTATTAAAGATGAAGTAAATGATTAATGAGTTTGATAATGCCGTGATTCTTTCAGAAACAAGATGACATCATTTTTATGGGAATAAAAACAAAAGGCACAAGGACCGTGAATCAATTAGGTCACAGAGGCCTATTTTACAGTCGACCTACTCAGAGGGCCTAAACTGCATCAATCAAATTTACTTTATGACTCTTAGCAAATTAGAACATTACAATATTCAATTCAAATAGGTTACGCGAACTACTTTTCATTGGACTATGCCCGTCCTTTCCATATTCCTGCAAAAAGCAAGATACTGGGCTTGATTTTACGATTGTTAACTTTCTGTCTTTAAAAATCAAGAAATCACCCAATCAAATACATATTAAGCATCCAATGCTCTTCGATTTAAAAAAGGAGAAAAAACATATATATTTAATTGTAAAATTCTTATTCATTTTAAAAGTTTCATATCGTTTACTTATTACTATAAAGGTTACGCCTGTACCTTCGAGACGGACAAAGTTTGTTTTCTCCACAAGATGTACGAAACATTGCAGTGGGAGCGACACGAGGTATTTAACATCTGTATTCTATCAACCGTTTGTGGTTTCTTGTATCCATTGATGATCTGAGCTTATATAGAGATTTCGTTGACGTTAGTTCAAAGTATGATCCTGTGCTGTAAGGAAATTTGAATATATGGCAGCTAAAATTTATATTATATTGCTGTCTTGATATAATATCCGTTCATAAACCAAGGGTCCATTTCTCACAAAAATTACGACTTTAGCCAGAAATAATATATTGCATATATTTTTAATGTTGGCAATTTCAAAATAAAATGAATCATTAATTTTGCAACAGATTACAATCAAATCAAATTTTTGATCCATTAGGGTAAGTTTTGTGCAAAACCTTTCCAGAAGTATAGACAGTCTGTCATATAAGTTGACGATTTTCAAGTTCACTTTAAGGTCCCTTTCGTCCATGTCTCAAGTATTTTTTGTGATATGCCCTGAGGAACGAAAAATCTTTCAGAGAAATCACGATTTTTACGTTCACTTTAAGGGTCCTCTGAGTCTTGTCCTAAGGTTATTTGTGAAAATATTTCTGAGGTATGTACACCGAAAAATTTTCTATTTGTTTTAAGGGTCCAACTCCCAGCCCTAGTACAGGACCGATGAAGGCAGCCGAGGGTCGCTTTTATATGTATCTGGAAGCAACTAATGCCAAACAACACGACCTTTCACGGCTTTCCCACCTCGCAAGCCACAAAGAAGGTTTGCACGTTAGACCCTTCTGTAAAAACTGTTTGGGAAAATTATATGGCGTAAAGGATTTTCTTAAATTTCTTAAATTATCTTATTTATTGTGATATAAGAAGCGTGAATTTTTTTCTTCAGAAAAGGACGACTGTATTTAACGCTGTATTTTGGATCTTTTTCGGTTGTTTTCTTGTGCTTTTAATATTTAACTTACTTTCATTTATATATTTACTACAATTGCCTTTTAATGAAACACCCAATTTAAATATGAAACAATTAGACTGTAAAAAAGTAACGAATTTAATTTTTTTTTTCCTCACAGTTTTCCAAATGAGGGATAATTTACACTTACCTGCCCTTAAATGAACATTATATATGTATGAGAGGTGGGGCTACCATCGGAAGAATGGTTCTAAAATTAGACTGGATGAATAACAATGACATCTCTATTTTCCATCTTTTTTTTAGTTATTTCAAAATGAGAACATTTATTAACACTTTTTTTACTCACAATCTCCCACACTAAGTTCTTCTATTTTCCATCTTCCTATTTATTCTGTACGACACAAATACATTATTTAATAATATTTAATACGTATAAGCCCAATCATGTATGTAAAGGATATTTTTTATTCGATAGCTGACTATTTATAACTAATATGTTCTAGCACAGTTTCCTACTCAGCATAAAACATTCTACCTACCGGAATATAAATCACGTGACGGAATTTAATATTCACACAATTTCCTGAGTTATGATATCACGTGGTATATCATAATTTTCAACGCGTCACAGCACTTGGTCACAACAGAGAGAGCAAGTGTGAGAAGAAGCAGTTTTTGTTTTCTATTTGAAATCGTTATCGCATGTTTGTCTATTAATCTCCTTTTAACAGAACATTACATATGCAAATATACAACTACTGTTAAATGGAAAACAATAGACAAATATGCGCTGATTATGTATAAAGTCGGTGAAAAAGAGGGCGTACTCATTATCCTACGGATTGGAAGATATTGGTACAGTATGACCCCGCCTCTGAAAATGATTCGTACATCGTTCGGACATACTTTTATTAATTGTAATTAAGCTGTAGATTAGATTTTGATCATCCCTGCAAAAGAAAAATGTCTGTTTTGAAAGTTATTATTATGACGTAAATTTATCATATCCTTTTCAGTAATAATGAAGAAAATCAAGTTTATAAACTCAGATGGACACAACATACAAATAAAGTGTTCAACTTTTCTATCATCGTTTAATATATTTAATATATAAATATTTTATTTTATTTGAATTAGGGGAAACACAACAGAATATATTATATTAAATGTCAAACCCTGAAATTAGGGTGCAGTATAGTAAGGGTCCTTAACAATACCTTTCATTAAAATGCAGTTATTTGATTTTTTTGAAGTTTTGTTTTTGAAAATTACGATTGTAAACAAAATATCTTGCTAAATCTTTTAACATATATGTCTAAAATTTATTGCTTATTTGTGTTCTTGAATACATCACAAAAAAGAAATCTATTGCAGATAAAACATATTGCCTGCAAATGCAGTATTCCTTGATTGGTGAGGACATAGGCGAATTGATTGTTGTTGAGTTCGATTATGTAAACTGGAAGAACAATATCAAAGTCAGAAAAACCGGGCAGCAGTTAGCGGGCGAATGGTTGTACCTAGAAACGGATGTAAAACTCAACGCTAACACTTACGTGAGTAGAAATAATGTTTAAGTCTCTTTAGTTCCCTACCGGTGAAACCGGAGGGGGCTATAAGTTTCCTCTTAGTCTGTCCGTCTGTCTGTCTACCCGTTCGTTTGTCTGTCATGTGTTACACTTAGTTTTTCACACTTTTTTTTTTCTAAGCGCTTGCAGATTTTAAGATTTTTGGTATACGAGTGTATTTTCAAGAGTAACAGAATAAGTTTGAAATTCATTCCGTGTCAATGATTTTTGACAGATCTAGAGTTATGGATTTTTTTAAAATTGAGATTACGATCGGTTTTTGTGATGCACTAAATAAATATTCCAAATGAGCATCTATCATAGAGAGAAAAGGGGAACCCGGCAGGGGAAATGTATTGCTTAAGCAATTCTCCCAGAATGCTTGTTTAGAACATGTATATAAACATTTAATTTGTGGAAATGCTGTAATTTTACATTTTACTTATTATATAAGGGATGACAATTTGTAACCGGAATTACTCGATCGGAAAGATGGAAATTGGTAAGACAATCTGCAATCGGTTAGTCGTAAAAAATAAATGCGTATTTTGACGAACGGTTAACCGGTTAATCGATTGGGTTGTCTTGCGGTTACCCGATTAGCAATTCTGTATTTTATTGCCAACCCTACTATATGGTTACAACTGATAATTTATGAAAGTTTTTGCTACAGTTGATAGTTTATGGACCTTCTCTTGTTACAGCTGATATTTTTATACAAGTCTTCTTGTTACAGCTAAAAATTATGAAAATCTCTTGTAACTGCTGATACTTTATGGACGTTTTCTTGTTACAGATAAATATTTATGGACGTTTTCTTGTTACAGCTGCTAATTTATGGAATTATTGGATCGGGTTATCGAGGAGACATCGCCATAGACGACGCAAAACTGTTTCCATACCCCTGTCCATAGGAACTACGGATGTACAGTGACACTTGATTTTGTTAACGCCAGGAAACCCTCTATTGTCATCCCCCTGGACATAGACTTTATTATTTGATTTCAACTACATGTATGAAAAGGGCGTGCCCTGATTATAAACTTTAAGGAACTTAAAATACTTAGCTTCACGTAGCAGACAGAATAATCTTCTGTGAGCTTTCAATGTTTAATTGCTTTTTAGTCTTTATTTGCATTTTTTATTTAATTATCATGTACATGTATACACGTTTTTCGACTACTTGACTTTTAAACAATTCTTGACTATTTCATGTGTCCTTTGATGAATTTCTCTAAATCCACGTGTATTTTTATTGCTTTGAGAATAAAATGTTTGCAACAATACATCTACAGCTTTAAATACTGTAGCACTGGTAAGAGCGGCTGTTTCGAGTTTTACCTAACGTGTCTAGTTTGAATTCAGACCAAAAAGACTATCTTTGTCCTTCAGGCTGGACCGCATAATCCAGGGTCCGTGTCGCAGTAATTGCTGGCAAGAAAACATCTTTAAAAGCTCATTGGCTTTTGTGCCAATTGTAAATCTCTCACATTTGCAGCCTGTCACTAGCAAGAGGCGGAGTCTCTCTAAACCGCGCAATGGAAAGTAGAATGGAACGGAAAATGCAATGATTTAAATAGCATGTTAGTATTTTTTCAATAGCAACATTAAAGGCTTTTGCGACGAGCGGGAAAATGTTTTACAAGGTCATCCATAACGCATCTCAAAACACCTTTAATATAATTTAAAATTAATATACTGAGATTTATATTTAAAGTAAGGGTTTACTTAACTTAATATACAGCAAAATACTAGATATAATTTAACACGGAAAGCTATTTGGGGGGTATATATATGAACGACTCCAAAGTGCAATGGGACTCCAAAGTCCGATGGTCACGCAAAACACCGATGGTTTGACAAGCTAAAGTCAGATGGTGTACGTGCAGTCGCCAAAGTCCGATGGTGTTGGAGAAAGATACAAGTTTGTGACGTCATCATACTATTGCGCCAAATATCGGTGCTGAGTTATGCCACATAACATTGAAATACGCAAATATCTAATAGATTAGAGAGGTTGAGATTTCAAACGCGTACGTGCACGTGTACGTCTAGTAAGGGAATAACCTAAATTCTGTGTGTATTACATCAAAAATTTTAGTGACGTCAATATTGCTACACGTTCGTAAAACTTGTATATGGAATCTACGTAACTGAAAACGTGCAGCTTAAATAATAAAAATTAGCCAATTTAACAAGGCCCGATCTACTTGATCTGCGCATACGTTTTAACGCAGGCCAGCGTCGACTCAGGCACGTCACAATACTCTTGACTGCCGTCACAATTGAACACAATAACGTCACAATTAAAATGACGTTAAATTGCGCTAAAATGTTTCGCTTATGTTGCTTACCTGGTAGCTCTATAGATTATGCATTGAAACCTGTCATTTCTATTATTATTCTTTTAAATATTTAAATTAATAAACAACTTTTGAACCTAATTAATGTTGAGGAATCAATTTTTTGGTACAGATTCATTAATTTTATCCTGTTTTATTTGAATTTGTGAGTTTAAACAAACAAACACTGCAACTAAAAGTAAACGATTTTAGTCTTTTGAACATGCTGAAGCGTTTATACACACTCTTTTTATTGCGGACTTAAATATGCATGAATTATTTTAGTTTTAAGAAATAAAATAATTCTATAAATCATTTAAATTGAATCCCCGAAATATTTTATTTTTCTGTATATTACATGATATTGGTAAAAATCGCAGTTCTGTCGCCTTTACCCCCCCCCCCCTCCTCCCTCTTCCCCTTTTTTTCACACGTAAAACAACGTCGCGTGCTAAGAGAAAAACAAAGCATGGCGAAAAAATTATTTCATAATGTAAAAATTATTTATTTTTTAGAAACTTATACAGTACTGCAATCGTTTGTTGGTGTTATGTAAACCCATTGCGACCTATCAAATACGTAGTTGGACAGAATAAATCCAAATTTTGTGTTTTGACATGCCCCCTTTTCACTGCAATAAAAGCTACCTCCAATTTTCTTTTCATTTTTTATAAGAAGAATGAAACTTGCATAAAATATGTGAAAATCAAAGAATTTCATCATGTCTTTTTTTTCAAATTGTAAATTTCTTTGTTTATTGAAGAGTTTTAGTATGTAATTGTGTATAAAAACACGAAAAATGGTCAATACCTTGACAGTGCCCCCATTTCACTACAATAAAGGCAAGGTAACAAAATTTCATTTGAATTTTTCTAAGCATAAAACAAAAAAGTATATTTCCAAGAATTAAAATTTTTTATCATTCCGTTTTTGTAATTTTCAACTAGATCGGGCCTCGTTAAGTGTGTAAATGTTACCCTTATACATTGTACAATGTACCAGTAGGATGTTTAGTTTCATGGGCACTTTTTTCTACTAACTATAATTAAACTGACGACAAAAAACTAGTTGAAACAGAGACACCGATCGCGGTGTACACGTACATGTTACACGTCATAAAAATCTCAACAGACAAATTAAAAAAAACATGTACGTCAAAATATACACAGTTAAACATAAGCGTACAAGTTTAAGATCTAAACTTCTCTCTTATAATGAATAACGGCCGATCTAAAAAATAATAATATAATACCAATATGTAATCTAGTTCCAGAATAGTAAAATTTATTTCCAGACCCTAAATTGTACAGTTGTAATTTACAACACGTTGGTACGTATTACATATATTTAGACAAAAGGTGAATTTTATAGTTCTCGGAGTCCTCCACAGTGTACACTTTTCCTTTGTTATCATCCATGTCAACTTTGGTTACCCGTCCCTTCCTCCAGTAGCCCGACAGGAAAACGTTTGTTCCCGCAGTTTAAAATCTACGGGATCAAACTTCTGCAGTGTTGCTACAGTCGCTGTTTTTTTTTTAGGAAAGAGTTCCTGTGCATACAAGTCGTTGTTCCAGTGATCATGTTGTTGAATAAATTTTACAATTTTAAAATCATTCAATATAGCTCTTTTCTTTAGATTATCTTTTTGCTCTCTTTATTAAATACAACCGACTTCTAGGCGAGTATATACGGATGTACGAATCTACTATTTTCTTTGGGTTTTGAAAACCTCAAAACAACGTTAAAAGATTAATGTCAGAATACTATCACATCATAAACGTTAATAACTTTTCCCGCACCATAGGTAGGACTTTGTCGTGTCAGACCATCGCACTTTAGCGCAACGCATCTCATAGGAAACAGCCATCGGACTTTGGCCTGACCATCGGACTTTGGCCTGACCGTCGGACTTTGGTGTCTGTAAAGACGGTTAGACCGCGTTCCATCGGGGTTTGGCGAAACCATCGGACTTTGGCGTCCCATCTCACTTTGGAATCTTACACGTATATATAAAGGGGAGTGATTGCTTGCAGGAAAGGACTGCTGTAATCAATCTAAAACAATTAAATCTAACAAAACAAAACTCGGATATGGCTATAATCACCCTGTTGGAAGGTCACACCCAGTCATTGCACTTTTCTCTGTTTCATTACAACAACTTAATAATCTTTTTATGCCTAAGAATACCCGTACTTGTAGCTCATTTGTTCAGTGCCACATTACATTTCCTTTATAAGGAGGAAGAGGTTTGCTAGTGTTTAAAACTTCCTTCTTACATACACACGTAATGCATCTGCCAAGAATTCGATGCATTTGTGTATCTCACGAGCACATGTCTCATGCTCTTTATCTGCTTGTGGCACAACCCAAAATTGATTAAGTTTTTATATTAATATGTCAGTTATCCCTAACATAATGTTAACCATGGATATATTTTGCAATCAATTTACATGCTTAAAATACACAGTATTTATTTACGATTCAATGGTGTAATATGATGAAACCTGCATGCCAATAGTAAAACATACTTAAATAAAACAATTAATTGACCTTATGCACATAAACTATAGCAATATATCTATAAAATAAATTCATTTGGTTATTATGGTAAAAGATCAAAGAAACACGCATTAATATTAGCATTTTCCATTCCTGTTCAGGGACCGGAATCTGTAAAAAAAAAAACAAAAAAAAACATGCATTATTTGCTTCGCTTGTTGTTATGTATAGATGTCGCTTTAATTTAATCACGTGATCATTATACTTGTATATAAACCATGACTTTTGTTAATTTGTTAGTCTGTTGGCTCGAGGGTTCTGAATAAGAACCATAGTTCCTGGATAAGGAAATAGATGCCAAGTGAAAGTCCTGAATAAGGCAACCATTCCTGGATAAGGAAATATCATAGCTTTGATCCTGAATAAGGATACCTATTAATTTATGCTGTGCCTTGCTATGCCATATGTTTGCAATTGATGACTGATAGACTTCCAATAAATTCTATGAAACTACAACATCTTTTCATTCAAAGAAGTAAGAAATCAAAAGAACCCCGTAACACTTTTTTCAGTTTGATGTTACACTTGGTCCTAGCTTTGAGCGGAGTATATCTTTATTTTCATTAACTAATGTTATTAGTAACAAACGTTCTTCCTTCGTCCAATTTGCATTCCTCTTTTTTTCTCTGCTTCTCGTCAGTTGCCATGTCGTTTGTGAATGATTTAAACATATTTACCTCCTTAACAAAAGAGCGCACTTTTTTGTTCGTGAATTTCTACGCGTTGCTAGGTGATTGAACTTAAGTATGCTAATTTTCTTAGAGTAAAAGTAGCTAAGAATTCGCCTCAGAATTTTTTTTACTACTTAAGAAAAACTTTTAAGAATAATCTTAGAAGTTTTATGAATTCCGACTCCTCCAACAGTTTTGGTCTGATTTCATTATAACTTGGCACAAAAGTAGAGTACACTACGATACATAATTTGGTTCTCATGAACAGTTTTGTCATAGTTAAAAAAAATAGAAATTTCTGTGAAATTCCTTTAAAACACTACTCCTCCTACAGTTTTGGTCTGATTTCATTATAACTTGACACACAAGCAGAGTACACTACGATACATAATTTGGTTCATCGATTTTGATTTTCATGAACAGTTTTGTCATAGTTACTTAAAATAGAAATTTCTGTGAAATTCCTTTAAAACACTTCTCCTCCTACAGTTTTG